AGCCCCGCCCCCTGGTGGGCTGAGCTGGCCACACACACACACACAATAAATAAATGTAATAAATAAAAATAAATAAATATTAAAAAAAAAAAACTGTGACCTCATGAAAGTTACTTAACCAGTACAAGCTTTGAGATATGAGTGCTTATCTTCAAGTCATAACTTTTGAGTTGATCAAATGAGAGACAGTGAGATCCTCATAGAATTGTAAGGACCACAGGAAAAGGTCCTGTCACGGTGACTAGCACACTGTGGTAATTAGCACATGTTAATTCTCACTTCAGCCCACATGGCACCTGACTTTTCCCTAAAGAAAACCAAAGAGGACATGACAGGCCTCTGCAGTGATTCCCACATGAAGTCAGATCCTTGTGGCTCTCACCTTGACTGTGGCTGGCCTGTTCCAGTTCAGATACTGCTCTAGCTCTGTTCCCTTCGCCCGGGCCCTGGAGGAGTTAAACACTTTCCTCCTGGGGCCCTGCATCTTGCTGCAGATGGCAGAGTGCCTCTCCAGCCTGGGCAGAAGAAAGGTGCGCCCACAGTGGCTGCACTTGGCCAGTGCTGGCTCTTCCTCAGTGGAGCAGACGGAACCTGAGGCCTCTGGTACCCTGGACGGGCCAGAACTGGAGGATTCCTGAAAATTACCGCCTGCTTCTTCTGAAGGCTGAAAGAACTTTTCCAGGGATCCTGAGGCTCGGTCTTGCATTTTGTTATTGTTTGCCACTAGCCTTTCCTTTTTGAGCCTCTGAATTCCATAATCAGAGAGCTGGATTGGACTAGAATCTTCCTGGAGCAGTCCCCAAGTTTCATCCTCTCTCCTGTCTCTACTGAACACTTCTTCAGTCCCAAATTCTGGGGGAAAGACAGGCTTGTATGGAGTGGTGGTGTAACTGCCTTTCACTCTTCTGAGTTGTATCATTCTCTGCAGCTCTCGCTCTTCATTTTCTTTGGCCTGTTCCCTTTCTCTCTGGATCCTTCTGAGTTCTGCCTCTGTCTTCTTCAGCTTTTCCCGCAGGAGACTCTCTTTTCTTCGGATTTCCTCCTCTAAGCTCTCTCCTGCAGCTTCCAGTCTTTGAAGCTGCTTCCGCTCCAACCAGTGGAGGTTTGCCATGGCCTCTCCCTGTGTGGCAGTCAGAACAGACGAATTCGCCCAGTTCCTCAAACCGAAGTTGCTGTCTGAAAATTCTCTTAGCCTAGGGGGTCTTGGGTAGATATGCTGGTACCTGTCAGTGCCAGCCTCCCCTGTACCACAAGACTTATGGTAGACCATGGGCTTCAAGGGGTAGGCCCGGTCCACCCCAACTTGCTTCTTTGTAACGGGGACCAAGTCTTGGTCATTTGCTTTGGGATACCTGGACTGAGGGCTTGAAGAATGCACGAAGCCCCTTACTTGGCCCTGAGAATGGCTTCCTGAGTTTCTCTCACTTATTCCAGCACAGTGGGAATAGAAGTAGCCCTGGGCTTTCAGGCAGGTGTTCCATTTGGCATGAGTGTAGACATCCGGTTGCAAGTCTTTCTTGCTCAAAGGCTTCTGCTGAAAACTCTTCAAGTGCCCCATCGAGGAAGACTGCAGGGAAGAGTCACCTTGTTCATAAGGGTCTTGCTTGGTTGAGTGGAGCGCTTCTGTTTTATTATGTGGGAACATAACCCCCACAGGCAATTGAGGGGCCAACTGGGGACCAGCCATTCAGGGCTTGGCCTGAAACCTAGGGGAGAGTCAAACCAGATACTTGTGAGGCATTCCTCTGAGGTTCACTCCCAGTTGCTAAACTACAGTTGCCTTACCATATTTACCTTAAACTTTTCTAGGGACAGTGGTTGCTGGATCTGTCAGAACGTTCATCCAATACGCTGGGTAAGGCCTTGAGGGCAGAAAACATGGGACACAGGTGTGACGGCCACCTAGTTTTCCTTGTCACCAGTACTAGTCGCTGCCACACACGTAAGCAGCAGGTGAAAGGGCAGCGGTCGGGTTTTAGACCCGGGCCTCAGAACAAGCAACTTCCCCTCGATGGCGCCGGGTTTTCACCTGAAACGGAAGCTCTGCTCTGAGCCCAGCCGCCCCCCAGCCCTTTGCGGGGCATGAAACCGCGGGCCGCGGTGGGGTCCGGCCCAGAGCTTGCGCGTGCCCGCCAGGGTCTGCAGCGAGCGCCCGGCTGTCAGACCCGCCTCCGAGGAGCCCCAGAGGGAGCGACTGAAAAATCTTGTCACTTGACAGGCAGGGGCCACCCGACCCGACGGACGCGGCCGGCGCCAGGTCCGGAACGCGCCCTGTGCTGTCCCACAGGGTCAGGCGGGGGCATTCCCTCGGGGACCCCGCCTTAGGGGCAAGGCCCTCGCTCTCCTGCCCCTCGGGGGTCGCGGCGTCGGCCCCGGGACTCCCCGCCCTTCCGCGTACCTCGGGCTCTCGGGGCCGCGCCTGCTCAGGGCTAACCCCGGACCCAGCCCGCCGCGCAAGCGCTCTGTGGGCCGCGGCGGCCGGTTGCCCGGACACCCGCCGACGCGGCGGAGGCGCGCGCAGGCGCAGTGCACGACGTGCCGCACGCACGACGTGCCG